ATAGATATTGTATAGGATACAAATGATACCCATCACTATAAGCTGTCTTTTTGGCTTAAATTTTCCAAAAACCTATAAAATGTATTAATTACCTATTATGTAATTAATTAATAAAAAATTTGAATTATTTTCACATTTTCAGTAAATAAAAGAGAACAGGTTTGTATAACATGGAGTTTGCAGAATTTGAATAAAATGGTTTATATGTCATTGAAAAGAGGAGAAGTACCGGTAATCATTTATAGACAGAAAAGTAAATTTTTTAGATGATCCAGGATGAAGTTGTGTTTAACTCATCTTAGCAGAAAAAGTAAGGGAAAGGGTTATGGTCTGGATATAACAAGACTTGTGAGAATGATTTTTACACAACATAAAACTGTTCATTTCCTTTTATATCATGGCAGAGTTGTAGGGAAAATGCATTGGCTGAGCAGCAGAGTTAAGTATGTGGGTTGTGGTCAACAAATGCTTATAAATCCCTTCTGCTCATAGCTGATTCTGTCACAGACTTTGGTTTGGTGTTCTTTATTGGAATGACTGATTTAACACATTAGAGAAGCGCACAAAACCACAAAAACCAACAAGTTATCATATTAGTTGCCTATTTGGTCACACACTGCGCATAGGGAAGGCATCAAGATTCTCCACCGGTGTTGTAGATGTGTTGGTAACCCTGACAACCTGTTCATCCAGAAGCATTTGATGGAGGTCAGGGTAGGACTACAGGCAGGTCCGTCCAGACTGTTCATTATGTTATTTTGGAGGTTCAGATTAACCCTGTTTATTTACGTAATGCATTAACATCTTGGGGGATGCACATATTTATCTGCATAAAGGTTATCTCCAATAATGAGAGAATTATTTTTAAGTATCTGGTGGTGGAATCACACATCATTACCCTACCATCACCAAAAACTGATTCACACTGGCAGGGAGAAAATGGCAGGTTATCCATGGGCCCAACCGCCAGTCTCATTGAATACATCCTACAAATATGGCACTTTCTATAAGGGCTTATAAACAGGCAACACTAAAGGTTAAAGGCCTCAAAGCAATTTCACAACAAAGATGAAATCAACTAGACCTAGATTAATTTACTTTCAATGCTATTATCATCATTATTGCAGATTTGTTGCTAAGGTAGACATGGAGAAAGAAAAAAAGGCAACATAGCCCAGACGTTTAATTACCGATGGGTTTTGTGTATTCATCCACCAGGTGCTCCATTTATTCCAAAAATAATTGGTCTGCCCTTGACGTGGTCAGAGATATGAGAATATCTCTGTTTAACTCTCTAGATTAACTGGGAAACAATCAAGCTTTTAAACTGAAGAAGCCATCAGCTTTAAAGAATCTCTTTTCTTACCTTAAATCAGCCAAAAGAAAACAAACAGTTTATCATAATCCTCTCAGTATCTTCGTGGAATACAATGTCACCAAGAAATGAATGTCACCCATTTTCTTCCCTTCCTTAAGGACTAACGGTAAATGTGTTCGGCTCCAATGAACAGCCCAGTATGTATGCCTGTGAGGTGAGATATTGAAAAAGAGAGGTGAGAAAAGGCGCTTAATGTCTTACCTGGTCTAGAAACTCTGTGTATTAATCATTAGCAGTCCCATAACCTAACATGTACGTCACTGTAGAGGGCAAGAAATGAAATGACTGCCCTTTCTTACACCTTACCCGTTTTTCCTCCGATACACTATATTACTATACCAGTAGAGTCATATGAACTTCTCATAAACCTCTGAAACATAAAAAAAAAATAAACTGGTTCTCGCGAGCAGAATTATAAAGTGTAATTTCTACCATTATTTACAAGATTGGTTAACATCTAACTGTTTGGATTATTTTCTTTGCCAAACTAACAAAGGTCACTTTTTTAGATGAGCGGCTCAGACTGTACAGAATAAGTAAATCCAACTTAATGGATTATATATTAGGGAAAATTCAAAACTAATAAACCTATACGGAATTTATGTCTTTAGATGTACAGATTATTGCCTTTTAATTATCTTAGAGATAGCTATGTATGTATGTATGTATGTATGTATGTATGTATGTATGTATGTATGTATGTATGTATGTATGTATGTATGTATGTATGTATGTATATATATAGTATATATAGCTGGAGATAGGCACCAGCACCCCTCGTGACCCCACTTGGGATTAAGCATGTCAGAAAATGGATGGATGGATATATAGGCCCAGAGGAACATCTGTGCAGAGTGATAGACAATGATCAAGCCAAGATCCTGTGGGACTTCCAGATAAGGACCGACCGAATGGTAATGGCAAACCAACCGGACATTGTGGTGGTGGACAAAAGGCAAAGGAAAGCTGTTGTGGTTGACATAGCAATACCAAGTAACTGTGACATCTAGAAAAAAGAACATGAAAAACTAGAGAAATACCAGGGGCTAAGAGACGAGCTAGAGAAAACCTGGAAGGTCTAGGCATCAGTGATACCCCTGGTCATTGGGGCACCTGGGGCAGTGACCCCCAAGCTGGAGGAGTGGTTAAAGCAGATCCCTGGAAATACATCAGACATCTCAGCCCAGAAGAGTGCAGTTCTAGGAACAGCTAAGATACTGCACAGAACCCTCAAGCTCCCAGGCCTCTGGTAGAGGACCCCAGCTTGGAGGAAAAAAAAGGGCGGGCAAGACCCGATGCCTCTTGGCTGATACCCAAAGTATCAGCCAGAACGCATAGGTAATGAGAAGTGGTCTGTGGTCCTCACCTGTAGAACCAATCCTTTATTGAGTGTGTCTTGCTAATTGGCAATAATTTCCAACTCTTTTCTATTGCATTTGCACGAAAGCATGTTAAATAGATTTTCAACCAGTGTTGCTTCCTAAGTGGACAGTTTGATTTCACAGAAGTTTGATTTAATTGAACTTTTATTGTGTTGTTTATGTGCTCCCTTTATTTTCTTTAAATCTGTATAGATAGATAGATATCTCATCCACATTAGGTATTTGCCTCTTGTTTAGGGGTTGTAGGAAGGGCCCCAGCAGTCAATGCGTGTAAGACATGGTTTACCCTGGAGGCCATCAGTCCATCACGGGGAAACACAGAGACAAACAGGACCACCACACACGACAAACACACTGGCAATCACGCCTAAAGCAAACTAATAGTCAGTTTTTTTGGCAGAACGGAGATAGTCGTTGACTTGTCTATAAAATTTTTCAAGAGCCCCAGCCAGAGTCCCAATATGAATTTGATGGAGATTCTTAATGGGAAGCTGTGGGTTATGGCGATTGCATAAAGGTCTTCCAACTTAAAAGATTTTGAGTTAAATACACACAAGAAATGATAAGAGAGAAGAGTTTTAATTAATACAAGTCCGGAGATTTAAAAACGCTGTTTCTTTAAGTTGTTTATTGTACTGCTGTTTAAAAACACAGGCTTTATTTAAAAAAAGTTCAAGTAGGAAAATGCTTAAAATTATTAATGCTTAAATTAATATAATATAATGTAATATAATGTGATATAATATGATCTAATATAATATAATATAATATAATATAATATAATATAATATAATATAATATAATATAATATAATATAATATAATATAATATAATATAATATAATATACTATGAGCACCTAAGAGATCTTTTTATTGTGCTTCACGGCGATCGATTTTTCTTTGATCGACTGCGGTTTCTTGTTGCTATGCAGCTTCTTTCTAATCATGCTGGTTGCTGTTTGTCCTAAAAAAAGCAAGTATAATTTCGTTGGAAGAGCCAAAAATCAGTCACCTTATCTTCATATTTGCTTTCAAAGACCTTTGCCGTCGTGTTAATTGTAGCCATGTTGGCACCAGTGGAGAAACAAATAACAGACGCTGTGCAGCATTTGGTGAATTTTTCCTCCTAATCATAAGAACCCATCCTGTCCGCACGGTGGCGCCATTGAGCTTCAGTTCACTGAACGGGGTTCCCTTTAACACTCCCCCTTCTCCTCTTCCCTCTGCTCTTTCTTTCTCTGCTGCCCACAACAGTACAGTACATGCTCTCGTAGTGGCAGCAACCAGCACAAACCTCCCTGTAGCTCATTAAAACTGGCCATTTATCATCAATCATGGCCGCCGGAGTACAGGTTTAACTCTCCGTCTTCTCCTCCCTGTCGACTTTTTACAAGGAGAAGGGAGGAGGGAGGGAGGGGGGATTTCTGTTTGCAGAGATATCGAAATATTATTATTATATTTGGATTTCCTCCTGGAATTACAAGAACATCTCAGAAGGGAGACACCATTCATGTCAAATCTCCAAAATGCAGCCGCCGCCGAGGAAGGTGAGTGATTTCCAGGAACCGTTATGTTTGGAGCGGAGCTGCGCGCACACTGACAGACATAACGGTGTTGTTACCTTCCGATGGAGGTCATTTATTGACCACACCGCGGAAGGCGTTTGGCAAACACAAGGTTAAAGACCTGAGACTGGCTAACATGGCGACTTCTGAACCGACTTTAACGTTCATCTGTCCGGCCATCAGAACGTCAAGTAGCGCTAGCTTAGAAGGCGCTAAGGTGGGCTGCTGGAAGACGTTTGAAACAAAGCAGCACTGTTTTATTTATTTATTTATTTTTTACTGTAAAACCAAGCCGCCTATTGTTGTAGAAATAACTTTAAATTAGGCGTTTGTTTGGCGGTTAAGCTAAACCCGTTGTTGTTTTGCTAACGTTTCCCTGCTGTCAGATTTGTGACAGCTTTTGTTTCAGGACATCACACCATCAACAACAAAAACAAAGCTTTTGTTTAATGGGAGCCATCGTCTTTTTTACTGGAATAGAAGAGCTTAGAAGAAACAAGGGGTATCTTTGTTTGATCTGTGCAGACAGGAGCTCAGATACCCCTCCAGAAGCAGGTCTGATGCTGGCTTATCGATCCGCTCTACAGTGGAGCTCAGCACAGCAGTCTGGGAGCATCAGGTTTAAAAAGTAAAGGGAGGCTGCAGTTGGAGGACTAATTAAGAGCTTCAGGACTTTTTTTTTTTTTACAACCTATAAGGTCCTTCCAGAGGTGTAGCCAGAATATATTTTATAAGGGTGGCCTGGCAATACTCAATGTACACTGAGGGGTGGCCAAAAGTGGATATGCACCAGAACCTCAGGGTCAATCTACTCTGTTCTAACAGGAAAATGAACAAGCAAAACATCCATATTTTCCAAATAAAGACTAACTATACTTTCCTACAGCCTTTGCTAACAAATAGACGCATATATTCAAACATCCGTCATTTCGAAATAAAATGTATCGTGGATAAAACTCAGTTTTGAGTTCTGGGGCGTAAATCAGTCATCATTGTCATTACTTACCTACTTTTATCAATAAACATTCAGCATAAAATTGATATTTACAAGCATTAATATCTACATAAGTTGATTATTTGATAAGTTTTTATTAAAATTGTTGTTCAGCTTTGATTTCACTGAAGACTCCTAGGTGACTTGCAGAGACACATGATTTTCTCTTTACTCCATATAACGCAAAATTTAGTTCTGAAAAGAGCATGAATTCTGTACTTATCATCTCTGATGTTCGTATATTGATGTGTATAATTAACCACAAAAAAATGTTTTCAATATTAAACTTGAGAGTATTACTGCTGCCACCATCTGTATTAGAGGAAAAAAAATGGCAAGGGTGGCCCTGGCCACCCCAGGCCCCCCATTTAGCTCCGCCCCTGTCTCCTTCATATTCAGTTCAGTTCAGTGTAACTATAGAGGTCCAATTCATAACAAAATATAAAGGAAGGGTTTTTCAAATACAACATATCTGATGAAGTTCATTTAAATAAGGTTAGAGTAAAATTAGGATTTTATCATAGGTCATTTCTATCTAACATTTTGAATAAAACAAAGAAAAACTGGTCAATGGGGACTTTCTATGGGGAAGAAAATGAGAGTCCATGATGTTAAAGACATTAATAGCTCCATCCACCGCTTCGTAAAAGAAAGAGACTCTGCTTAAGCTTTGGGAAATTAGTGTAAAAACCAACAAAACAAGTTAAATAAAGAATAAGGCCAGCAGGTAGAGGGCTGAAATGATGTCAGTACATCCTGGAGTAGTCAAGGGATATAGGCTTAAGTTGAACCAAAAATGAGAATTTTAGGCCCAGCCTTATTAGTATAATCACAGTTTTCACAATTTTCAATCCAAGAGGCAATCCATTTTGTTCACATTGCAATTAATGGGAGTAATGCTACGCTAGGACCACACGCTGCAGAGGTAGCAGAGGCAGCATCAAGGCACAGCAAAAGGTCCTGCAGCACGTTTTGAGCAGCAGGAGCAGCGCCTTACAAGCTTCTGAGCATCTAAAGTGCTTCACATGCAGCAGCTGCTGGAGTGGGAAAAATAGAACTTTTGCTGCTCGACGCGGCGCATCTACCAAACAGAGAACCTGATCTGGGGGCTGGATGGGAGACAGACACAGCGCTCCTGATGCAGAACGCTATGATCACTCCCCTGAAACTATTTATTGATGCCAAAATTAACCTAAAATGTCAAAATCTGCTGGCAAAATATGTCTGCTGTTATTATTCTGGTGCCTGCACTTTGGATTAGGTACATGCGAACCACTAAGATCTCCTTCCAGCTGCCATGAACAGTAGCGGAAAAGCAATCAAGCCTGATGCAGCTGCTGAAGGGGATTTCCATTGACAGTGCACCACCAATGTACGCTGGTTTCGTGCTGGTCGGTCAGCAAAATAATATTTGAAGGCAGGATCGTAATCTTGAGGAACTGACTGCACAGATGGTGTTTTGAGAGTGACCTTCTCACTTAAAAACATATTAAAACTACTTTTTAAGTGTGTACAGATCAGACCGATCTGTACACACTTAACTGGACAGGCGTTGGACCTTAATGTGTACAAGCATCAAAAATGAAGTAGCAGATGCTTTTTTGCTGCTTCTATCGCATGCGGTCTCAGTGTGGCATAAGAACCTTCCTTTCTCACTCCAGCCCTTTTGGTGGCGCTATGACTGTACGCTTTAAATGGATCTGTAGCCACACAGAGGTGAAAAGAGCTGCAGGTACTGAGCAGATCCACGCGTGCGGTAGAAGTGATTGTCTTCCAAAAATCTAAATTGTGATTATTTTCAAACAGTGATTGCAATTATATTTTGATATTCCCCCACGCTAACTGAAAGCCTGTGGATGTTTCACTCTTTGGTTTTCTTTTTTTCATCACCTTGAAAAGGTGCTTGTCCACAGTCCATCGTTTGCAGGACTTTACTGTAACATTTATGCTAAATAGAGCTTAATTCTACTCATGTGTATGAATCTGTTTGCTAGCTGTTACTCTCTCTTCTCTCCTGTGCAGCGGTAAACCCACTTTAAGGGTTCTACTGCCACCTAAAGGGCCGGAATGAGAAATGTAGGATCTTACTCTTGTTTAATGTATTGTGAAAATTAGAATGAGAGCGTCTGCAGTTTGATTAAATTGAGATTATATTCCAGATGCATTTAATTGTCGAGCCCCATTTCCCACATACCTGTAACAGTAAAGCCATCCACCATGGACTCTGGACGAGCACGCTTTCAAGGTCATGAAAACAATTAAACCCTGGAGTTAAACATCTACAGGCTTGTAGTCAGGGCAAAGATAAATCCAAATAAAATCATAGTTAATATTTTGGTTGAAAAAAAATCAAAAGTTTTAGATTATGGCTAAATGGTTCAGCCCTAACCCAGACAGAGACTAACAGCTGGTTTTACTATAAAACATCTAGTAAAACACAAAAATTCTAGTAGTTTAGGTTTTAAAAGTCTGTTATTACAGCCTTCTCACTTCTTTGCACAATTTGCAAAGCCTACTCTAGAGCAGAAGTAGACTTTAAATGTTATGCTGAAAAAAATCCCTAACTCTTATCTTCTAGGATTAAAAAAAAAAGAAATGAGGAAAGTAATTATAGTCTGGTTCTTTAGATGGAAGCTAATGTGTGAGATTGAATTGAATGATGTTTAACCATAGGAGATGTGATCCCACTTTTGAACAATCATTTAATAATGCATCCCATTTGACATTTTATTATTTTTATTTCCAAAACAGGACTAGTTTAAACACCTGATAAGATCCAATGTTGCCTTTTTATTAGAATCTAAGGTATGTTTATACAGGAGATGATGACTGGAGCTGTTTTTTGATCTGTGCGGTTTAAAGACAGATGCATGGGAAGCAGAGCTCCCCTGTGAGCCTCTGTGCACTTGTCTTTTAATTATCACATCTCTATCCCCCCTGTGCTTTTGATGTGCTGCTTTTTCCACGTGTCACTTCATGTCCTTTAAAACTCGCCCACTTTGCGAACCTCTTTCACGAAGCTGTTCTTCACTATCTTTTTGGATCGGTTTTATGTTAAAGCACTTGGGAGTATCAGCAAAACAAATACTGTTTTTTTTTTGTTTTATTTTATACGGTCTGCGAAGGTGGCTGAGACACTGGACGCACTCAGCCTGCAGTGCCACAGCCAGAGTGTATCAGTGTTCGCCTGTGAGATACAAGTGTTTTCTCCCTCCCTGAGCGACACATCCAGCCCCTTAAGTGTTTTGTCTGTGTCTCAGCCCATCTGCTAACAAACTGCCCTCGTTTGAGGCTCATATATTAGTTTGATGGGGCTTAAATTATAGATGCCTGCTTCTGGGTTAACACAGACTAATAGATTAGGGCTGTCTAGATGAATTTTGAGCTGGCCTAAATGTGACAGACTTTATTCTCATGGTTGAAATTTCTCTTTTAAAAAAGAAAAGAAAAGGAAGCTTTTACCTGAGAGGGGACCCAGTGGGAGGAAATCCCTTTTAATCTGCGTTATTTTATCGCTCTTGTTCCCTGCAACAGTAGTTATAGTGGGTTTTCCATGTAAATGTACAATTACAGTCACAACCTTTGGTGGATTTCACTGTGATACACCAACGCCTTAGTGCTTAATGGAGAAACAGACAGGCAATATTTCGAAGTTTTCTAATATGGAAGTGAAAACCTGAAGAGTTGGCCGCGCATCAAATGTTCAGAAAACAAAGGTTCAAGTTTCAGCTAAGAAAAAACGATTGAAAAAAACGGCATCTTGAGTGTGAGGATCGAGTCTGATTGATCCACTTAATGAAGGAGCTTTTTATGTTTGAATTATTCATAATGCTGATTTTAGTAGCCCACCTTAACAAACCAAGAAAATGATTTCCGGAGAATAGTCAGGCACTGGAAAGGAAATTGGTAAGAAAGCTGTTGTAATTCTTGAGAAAATTAGTAAGCCGGGGGAAACTTTGACTTACGACAGCTGCGTGACGTACATCTG